GGATACTGGGTGCGGACCCAGGAGTCAAGCCAATCACAGCGCGAGGGGGCTGGTCGGCAGGGGATGGAGAGGCGGAAGCAGCTAATTCATCTTCAGAAAAGGGGATAAAAAAGTGGAGCGGTGGGCTGGGGGTTAGGAAGTACTTCTGGAGATTTGACTTGCGTAGTAGCCGGCAAATTGAGAAGTTCACGGGACTGCTCAGTAGCGTGGAAATCGTTCTTTTCCTTTCTATAAAACTACCAAGGTTCCTTCGCTCCAATTTGACACCATTGTGGCGATGAGAGCTCTTAACGATTTGACGAGGTGCGCTTGTTCCTGCATCCCGTGACATGTGGACAAGAGCTTGGAGTAACCGTATATGCCTGGTGAGGTGGCGCAAACACATCGCTCCATATCGTCGCTTCTCGAGGTTTTACACGTCATTAGCTATTGTCGCGGGTAGCATCCAAGCCTGAAGATCACAATTGCGACGTGCTGCTGTCCGCCCTGAAGCCTGACTGAATTCTGGCCATCCCAGCACCTCTTTTCAAAAATATCTTGCTCGTTCCTGCCTTCTAAACTGTGGTCGCTTAACATTAGCGGCCACAGTGGGTACTATCTGTGATCCCCGTCAGAGAGCTTTTGAGGTGTCTCACTAGCGCATCCTCGTAGCTGGTTAGCGCCTATTATCTTGGGCCGCTGGTTTTGTTATTTTTTTGAGACCAACAATGAGCATTACATTTGCAACCGTGTCTAGTTTCCACGGAGACAGGATGTCGAATTACTGTTTCAATCTCGCAGCACTTTCACGATTTGATCATCAGGATACTACCAAAAACAATGGATTTGCTGTACATCTTGCACGAAAAAAACCATCACTAGAATTAGTTGGCGTTAACAAACGCAGAGTGGTTGGGGCTGAATGCGTCGCCGAGCGATCAGCTTCAATTCTTGGGTAAAAGCATACTAGCATATAATACCATAATTAGCATACCTAAGTCTTTGGCCTCTATCTCCGTATTGCTGAAAAGTTGACCCGCGACACGTGGTAGCATTATTTGTCACGCTCAAGCTTACTTTTTGCTTGCGCTACACTTGAATCAGATATCTATCGCCTTGGCCTCCACATCGTCTCAATAAACGACCTTTATATGAGGTATGACGAGAAACGTTCATAAGCCATCTATATCACGAAGACAAGTGGCGATGACGAAATTTCTATTGAAATTTGTACATATTAAAGTTGCTGAAATGAAGAGCAATCACATTAAGCCTCTCCCTGCCCCCTTCTCTTAGATAAAGACTAACTAGTTAAATCTATCGACATTTCTTGTCCCATTACTTGAAAATTTGTCGTCTGCTAGTACGCTTGAGCAGTAGTGATTAACGGTAAAAGATAGCAACACCTAAAGTTTTTTTGAGAAATAAAGAAAGTATATTCTTACATCATACATCAAACGGCAAAATGTCATTACTGACAGGCATGACACCTGCAAAGCAACAATACTTCATAATTTACAAGGTAGTCATCAACTAGTCGACTCTTTAGTGTCATTCTCAAGCTCGTGGGATCAATAAGCTTGGCATCTGTTGCCAGCACTTCCAATTATTCTTGTCGTTGTGATCGCAATTCAAGCATAATTTGTAAGCTTAATTAGATAAGTCGACTCATACATAAATGTGAGTCCACCATCGAACTTTTTTGGTTGTAGTTGCGCATTTGATGCAGCAAGAAAGGTTGCTGCATCAGGCCCATGCGGCGTATCAACGCTGTGTAGTGATGCACCACCTGGCGCAAATCCGTCCTCACCTCCACTTTTGGCATCATAAATGCCGTAAATCATACCCATGAACTCGCTCATACAATTGCGGTGAAAGTATGGCGGACGAAATGTGTGCTCCTGAGCCTGCTCAATGATTCTCAAATGATAACAAGCGATGTACTTAAAAGTAAGAAAACATACCATCCATCTTGGCGGGAAAATGACAAATTCTGCTACAGCATTGCCAGATTCCTCTGTCTGACATGTGAGAACGCAATAAATCGAAGGGTCCTGCAGCGCGAAAATACTAGATACTTTAGTTTCAGCGATCATCTCTGAGCCTGTGAGGTTTACCGGATGGTCGAAAGACACGGTATCTATTGTACAAAGCTTGTCCAGATTGTACTTGTACGGGACATAGTTTTCATGCCATGCGACAACATTTAACGGAGAAAAGTCATGCGAGTTGAAACAACTGGCCGCCAAACTGTTTCATACAAAATAAGAATCAAATTTCACTTCGAGCGCCATTACCATAGCTTACCTTGTTAACAACCAAGTACTCACACTCGCAATCCTCGTAAGCAGCACTTGGGTGCTCAAAGTCCCGCGGATTCGCGAGACCATTAGCTCCAACAGACCAAGATCAGGCAGCACAAAGTGACGCTTGAAGACCTCTAGCATATATCCGCGAGATGGCCCGTCCAGATCAACAGAGAAGCGAATACCACGCTACAAAAAAAGTAAAACTATTATTTGAAGATCAATGACCAACACCTTTCGTCACTCCACAGAATGTACCTGGATGACGCAGATTTTGTGCGGTGACACTTTGATTCGACCAAACTCCGTAGTTATCTTAAGGGTCCCACATTGGGGAACTGCATTATTGAGTTTATCAGCAACATGGTATAAGAAAAAGATTCATGTCTCCGTCGGACGCACCAATGAGCAAATCGCCATCCGAATTATAGATACACTTGTCCTTTATCGACGTGTTTGCGGCGTACATGTGAACTGCCATTTCTGCCTTCATTGTTAAATTCCCCGCACCAGTTAACAAAACACATGATACGTTGACTGTTAATATGTCATCGAAGAAATGAGTGAAGAGGACCGAGTGTGCGTAAACTGTCGATAAAATCTAAGTCTATGAAGTCCGCAGGCAAATTGTTACCGCATTTACTGCGGTGAGGTTCTCGTTTGTAAAGCTAGTCGTAAAGTAGCTGTGTGCTTCTTCCTGATATATTTCGTGTACTAAAGGTGGTAGAATTCGGTACAGCCAACTAGAGGCAAATTTCAGTGATTAAAGCCAATCAGTGAAATCTTACAACGCGGTAACTTCCGCGTATAAAGCATACGAGCACTGCACGAAACATCAATTACTGAAAATGGTGTTGTAAGCTTTTGAGGATTATTTTGCGTCTGTGGAGTGCACCAGTTAGCGCCAAAGCTCGTTCCATTCTGGCTAAAATACCATAATGATATTTCAGAGCACGCGTTTAAACCAATATTCTGGCTTTATTGACACTTGGAGCTCTGATCTAACTAAAAGTAGCAAAGCATAAAAAGTCTCTCGAACGCACAAAATTCCTTATGTTTTTATTTGTTAATTACCTACGTCTGCTAACTCTATGGATATTCACCCATCTGGTAAAACAGCTTGACTCCATTTTTGTCGAAGTTCTAGAAGAGGATTTGCTACACTCTGCATGGACAGGACATTGGCAACT